ATGTCACTGATCGTACCAAATTGAAGCCACCTCTCCCCTCAGCATCTTCAATAGCCTCCTAAGTGGTTTCCCTGCTTGCCCTCTTACCCTCCCACAGTCACTACAATCTAGTCTTCACACCAGCTCCTGTAACCTTCTAGCATAAAGCAGTCTGGTGCTTCCCATTACATTTAAAATCCACACTTATTTCCCTGGCCTACAAGGCCCCACAGGAGCTGGCACCCGCTTACCTCTGCACCTCTATCCTCACCACTCTCTCCAGCTCACTCCAGCCACATAGGCATTCTTTCTCTACTCACACATGCCATCCCACCTGCTTTCTGTTCTCATTCCCCTCTGTCTGGAGGTCTATTTCCCCAGGTAGTATTAACCATCAGGTCTTTGCTTAAAAGTCACCTTTACAATGAAAGCTTCCCTAACTATCCGGCAAAAGTGGCTTCCCAGTCACTCTTCCTTGATTATACATCTGAACCACCTTTTTATGTGTTTGACATGTGTGAACTCTGCTCTCTTGGAGCCTAGAAAATGCCTGGCACCAGAACATATACCTAGTAAATGTGATGAATGAATGAATGTCTTTGGCTAGTAGGCAAGATGTGTCCATTTAAAAGCCACCAATGAGTTCCTGCTTCTGAGACCAAAAGTCAATCTCTCCTCAAATTTGCCATTCTATTATACATTCAAATGGCAACAAGGTAATGATAAAATTGTCATCACCTAAAGGAAGCTTTTTGTCCTTTTAGGTTTTCCAAAAGAAACTAAATAATACTCAAATCACAAACAACAAATCTTTAGGAGACTCTAGGCTGGAGAATTTGAGGGAAGCACACATAAGAGCAACAGCCTACAAGCTACTAAAATAATCCCTATGTACTAAACTGAAAATGATCAAAACCCACAAATGCCTAGAAACATGAAAAGAAAAACAACGTTGGGGCCTAAATGATGGAATCTTCACTGCTACGAGGAAGGAGTTCTTCAATGGTAACGTCTTGCATTTATAAAGAGCTATGTTTCATTTGATTCTCACAGCAGCCATGAGGAACTGGTGAGTTGATGCTATTGACCAGAATGAAGTTTGACTAGAAAGTTTAAATGACCTGGTGAGAGAGAACAGGAGTATCATAGAGCAAGGATCTTAGATCACAAATCCTCTGCCACTAATCGTAACTTGACCTTGGCAAGTCACTTCATCTCTCTGTGCTTCAGTGTCCTCATCTAGAAAATACAATGCTATATACGAAATGCTTGTATCTCCCTGAAATGCATATGCTGAAATCTAACCCCCAAGGTGATGGCATTAGGAGGTAAGGCCTGTGAGAGGTGATTACGTCATGAGGGTAGAACCCTTATGAATAGGATTAGTGTCCTTATAAAAGAGACCCCAGAGAGCTTCTTTCTGCAATGTGAGGACACGGCGAGAAGACAGCTGTCATGAACCAAGCCCTCATCAGATACTCAATCTGTCAGTGCCATGATTTTGAACTTCCCAGCCTCTAGAACTGTGAGAAATAGACTTCTGTTGTTTCTAAGCCACCTCATCTATGCTATTCTGTCATAACAGCCCAACTAAGACATACAACTTACTTCATAGGGTGTGGTAGGCTGAAATTGCCCCCCACCCCACCCCACCCCCAAAGATGTCCACATCCTAATGCCCAGAACCTGTGAAGACGTCACTTCATGGGGCAAAAAGGCTCTGCAGATGTGACTGAATTAAGGACCTTGAGGTGGGGAGATTACGCTGGATTATCCAAGTGGATCCAATGTAACCACAAAGACCCTTGTGAGAGGGAGGCAGAAGGGCCACAGAGAGGCAAGTGACAACAGAAGAAAAAAGACAGAAAGGGATCAGAAGATGTTAACACTACTAGCTTTGAAGCTGGATGATGGGGCCACAAGCCAAAGTACACGGGAGGCCTCTTGAAGCTAGAAAGATAAGGAAACACATTCTTCCCTAGAGCTTCCAGAAGCAACACAGCCCTATCAGATCCATTTTAGGTCTTCTGACCTCCAACCAATGAGAGAATAAACTTGTGTTACTTTAAGCCACTAAATTTGTGGTAATTTGTTACAGCAACAGTAAGAAACTAATACACAGAGTTCTCCGCAGGACTCAATGAGCTCAAATGCTAAGAACAGTGCCAAGCGCCACAGTAAGAGCTCTTCAAATTTTAACTATCATGAGCCAAGACCAGAACCCAGGGTAGACTCAGAGAAGTACTGCAGAAGCTAAGAAAATAAGGTTCAGGAATTTGGTAATATCAATCTAAATTTAAAATGTACACATCATTTGACAAAAAGATTCCATTTCTAAATAGATTTATAGGATATTCAACACATCCTTGGTTGTAATAACTCAAATATCCCTTAATAGGCTAAAATTGGAGAAAAACCATTCAACAGAGTACTAGGCAGCCTTTAAATAATGAGGTAGACCTCAATGTGCTGATAAGGAAAGTTCTACAAGATGTATCCTTCAGTGAAAAACAGCCAAGGACAGAACAGCAAGTATATCAGATTCCCTTTTTGTTGAAAAATTAAAAGGCTACATACATATATTCGTAAGTATACATGAAAAAACTCTAGAAGTGCATGCAGTTAACTGTTAATAGTGATTGTTCTAACGAAGGAGACTAAGGGTATGAAGGAGGAGGGAAACTTGTCATTGTATGCCCTTTCAAATGATTTTAGTTTAGTTTTTTTTTTTTTTTTTACTAAGTATGTGTGTGATATTCATTTCTAAAAAACTGAGGTTGAGATGTGACATCACCCATCAAATATTTATGCGCTGACAGCATGCCCACCATTGTACGTGATCCAGGGCACAAGACGTGGTCCTGCTCTCCAGGAGTCTACAATTTAGCTGAATTCACCATCTAGATTTATATCAGACAATCATCTCTCTAATTGTTTTAGACATTCACATTAGAAAAGTGAACTAGATATTTTCTCCAAGTACCCTTCCACCATGACCCTATGAGAACAAGTCACCACCTAAAATTCTTGTCCCATCTATTAGTCCCAACCAGTGCTTTTTACAATTAATAAACTTTTATTTCCGGGGAAGTGGTCAATGTTTATGAAGGGAGAAATCTTTACAAAACAGCCTAATTATATACACATTACACACTACAAGAAAAAAAGATGGATTTGTCTGCTTCAGTACACTTCCTTATATTTTCTTAATTCTCTGCTAAGAAATATGTATCAGTGCTACAAAAAGAAAAAGGAAAATACATCCTCCTCCCCTCAAAAAATACTCTTTTTGGTGCTGACACAATATCCACTGGTTCATCACAAATCTTCCTCTCATTTTACAAAAGCGACAACAATTCAAAGTATGACTTTCCAAAGGTTGACATTAAAGAGAACTGGTGGCAAAACCAACAGGAATCATCCAAATCCAAGTGTTCCATTTGTAAAACATTTAGTGCACACTGTCACCCAATTAGAGCAGAATCCATCAAGGAGACATTATTGCTAGCAAGGGAGGCAGAATGGGATCTGGCTCACTCTTCCATAACTCTATTAGTTCCTCTCAACCAAGCAAGAAAGCCTGTGTTAGCAAAGTATTTAGCTGACAGGGCTTCCCTGGTGGCGCAGTGGTTGAGAGTCCGCCTGCCGATGCAGGGGACACGGGTTCGTGCCCCGGTCCGGGAAGATCCCACATGCCGCGGAGCGGCTGGGCCTGTGAGCCATGGCCGCTGAGCCTGCGCGTCCGGAGCCTGTGCTCCGCAACAGGAGAGGACACAACAGTGAGAGGCCCGCGGACCGCAAAAAAAAAAAAAAAAAAAAAAAAGTATTTAGCTGACAACATATGTACACAGAAATCATGACGTAATTCATTTCCATAACCTTATCTAAGGTAGAAAAAGACAGATGAAAAATACTCACTGGGTAATTATAAAGTTTTCAAACGGTAACTTACAAAGGTACTCCTCCAATCTGGAGACTTGAGGAGTCATCACAGCTAAAAGTACTGAATGTACCACAAACACTCCCTGATACTGACAAACACAACAAAGTGGTGCTGGACTCCACGTGCCAGGCCCTGTGATAAGGGCCTTTCCATTTCTATTCCTAATTTCTTTGAATCCTCTCAACTACCGCTGCGATGTAGAAGTGAAATTGAGGCATGGAGTTTAAATAACTTGCCCTTGGTTATAACAGCCAGTGAGTGACGCCAGGATGTGAAATGAAGCAGTCTTCATTTGAAAGTATAGACATGATAATTGTACTACCTTCACTGGAAAGTATAAACGTTCTACTACCCCTTTCCCAATCACCCCTGTCACACACTTCCATCTCCCCAACTTGCTCCTATCAGACGCCACCCTCTCCCCAGCTCAGAATCAAATCAAATATTCTCCAGTCCTTCTGTAATCCCAGATGCCCTTATTGGCTTCTATTGATCAGAAGCCAATACATGAAAATAAGAGGTCATCTGGAGAGGATACTACCCTTACGAAAAGCCACTTTTCAAACACCTGTCTCTAAATGGAGTTAGCAGGGTGACGACTTACAGCTTTGCACTCCTATGGGATCCACCAGAAGTCAGTGTCTTTTTCCCTGCACACACAGTCCCTCCTCATTCACATGTATTCACAACTTGCCAAAGTGCTCTCATTGAGAAAACGGTTCTAAATCAGTTCTTCCTGATAATAATCCTAAAAATGACAGCTACCACACACTGAGCGTTTATTAGGTAACAGGCTTTACAAACACCGTGTCATTTCATCCTCACTGCAACCCAATGAACTAGGCACTGTCCCCAGTTTATAAATGAGAAAACTAAGGCTCAGAGAGGTAAAGTAATTCAGCCCAAGGTCATGCAGCTGGTAAGAAACTAAATCTGATTCCATACAGATGTAAGCTTTCCGGGGTCTTGCCTCTTACTGATTAAAATGCAAGCTCCTCCTGGACCTCCCCTGAGAGCCAGCTGCCAACATCAGATCTGTTCCGCCACCACATGAACCCTACTACCACTGAGCGCTTACCTGAATTTCTTCATTCTCATCTACTAGGAGGAAACTCACAACCTTCTCAGTCATCTTCTTCCTCTTGGTGTCCTCATCCATCCCTTCTTCCTCCAGCAACTCCTGGACCTTAGCCACATGGTACACAGTAACAGGGTGCCTCCTTCTGTTACCCCCAGAATGAGTCCTCTTCTGGCACTCCAGGCACAAGTTGATTTTACAGGTCTGGCACCTCACAACTGCCCTCTGCTTCATACCTGGAGAATGCCCACTGGGGCCCTTGCAGGGGTCACAGTAAGGGACGTGGCCAGCTTTGAGTCTGATCCGCTCATGGTTTCTCAGGCGCTCCTGACGATGGAGCTCCTCCTCGCAGCGCAGACACTGCAGGCTACAGCACTCGTCACACTCGAAGACGGCTTCGTCAGTCCCGCTGCAGGTGTAACTCTCCTGGCACAACAGCCCAGGGTTCAGGCCCTTCTCTGCTGGGGAAGTCTGCGCACTCATATTCAGACCGGGAAGGAAAGCACCTACCATATAACTGTACCTGGACTTTCCCCAGAAGTGAAGACAAAGGAGTTGAGTCCGAAGACTGACCACAGCCTCCACAGGGTTCTGAACACCCTTAAAAAAATGTTTTTATAAAAACATTCGATGTCTTATTAGAATTCTTCACACATTTACAAATGTTCAGATATTTAATTTCCTGCTGCCAAGACTCCTGAATCAGCAGCAACGTTGACTTGGTTTGATAGTTTCATCCTCCATAAAGTGCAGGCAAATATGTGGTTAAAATTAACTTGAGAGGGTCTGTTATGGCTATCTGAGAGAGATCTGATGGGTTCACTGAGGTGGGCGCATGCATGGGGCCTCAGACACAAGGTTTTGGTAATGAAAGAGAGTGGTCAGGAGCTTTTCAATATTATGCAGCTCAAGTCAGTATTTCAGAGGATACCTAGAATAGAGGCAGGAAAAGGATTTCACTCATCTAAAAACAAAAATGCACCTTATAAAAAAAAGATTGTGATTAAATAGGCCAGAACTCCCAAGAGAACTCTCACTCTCGCTTGTAAAAATCACACTGGCTCATTCTGATCCTAGAAATTTCTCCTCAAAATCATGGTTAAGCCCACTTCTTCTGAAAACAAGCATTACCTCTAGTCTCAAGGCATTTAAGAGACTGTGTTGCTTTATTTCCCAGCCTGAAATTCTCTGTTCCCTCAGTTATTAAATTAAGAGTCAAAAGTACTAAGCAAATAGTCCTTGGAGGAACAACCCTCTGCACCCCTACCTGCACCCCACAATTGGAAGAGGTGGAGAAAGACGCTTGTAAAAAGCTAAAGAAACAATAATAATAAACTTTAGCTCCATCAAAGTCCTGCGCAGATCCAATTAACCTTGTGACTGGATTGCTTCAACTCTAAACAGATGCCTATTAACGACTCTAAACCTGGAAACAAGAGTCACCATTCCATGTTTAAAAACAATTAAAAACAATTATTGTACTTCCTTTTGTCCTTTTGTCTAACTGCAAAAAAAGGGAGCAACAGGAGACAGAATTCCTCCACTATGGCCCACTGCAAAGCCAGGCCTGAAGTGAGTTAAAACAAATAATTCTTCTCTTTGTCACTCAAAACCCAACTTTAAAATAACTAAAAAAGAAAGAAAGAAAGATAGATAGATAACTGGGGCAAGAAAGGGCTTTTTGTCACAATCATATTCCTAACTCCCCTTCGCCTCGACACCCAAACTAACGCTCCAAGGAAATGTAAAGCCCTCCTTTCGGGTATTCACTCCTCCCATACAGTAATCAATCTATCCATCATATTTTTAGATAAACAAGGAAGGCGAAAGGAGTGACTAGGAGACCTTATTTACACCCTAATCACAGAAGTGCCCAACCAGCTCCCACAACGTTAATAAAAATCAAAATTTGTCACAATTGAGAAAAAAATTAAAACCAACCTTCAAAAAGATACCTCTCCGCCCACCAGACCCAAGCAAACAATCTGCCCACTCGGCCTCCCACCTCGACGCCTCTCTCCAGCCGGGGATTCCTCACCCTTCCTTCCTTCCGGACAACACCACCACAACCCGAGGGGCAGGAGCAAGGTCTAAGAACAAAGAAGGTCCCCCCAAATCCCCCCCACGCTGGCAGAGGCCAGAGCCGAATCCATTGTTTATACCACCCCACCCCCACCTCCACCCCCGCCGCACCCGCCCCCCCCTTCCTCCTGGGGAAGGAGGGAGCTCCAGGGCTAGCGCTCGTCCGGCGCAGGGCCGTGCCCTTCCCTCCCCGACCGCGGCGTCCCGGGAGCCCCACCACGAAGCAGCTCTGCTGCGGCGAGGCGGCGTCGGGGGACCCCGGGGCGCCGGTGGAGACGGGGGCTGTTCCTCAGGGCACCGGTGGATCCAGCCTCCTCTCCATCTCCACCCCCCCTCCTCCTTCGCTGCCTCCCGGGCTTCCTCCTCTCCTGTTGTCAGTTAGGATCAGCTGATCTGAGTGAACTTCTCCCTGCTCGGACTAACAGGAAGGCGTGAGCGGTGCAGCCCAGTGAGGGAGGAGCGGGAGAGGTGGAGCCTGACGCCGGCGGGGGCGGAGATGGACGCGCACAGCCTCCTGGGAAATGTAGTTCTCCGGAGGCGCGTCCTTCCCCAACTTCCCTGAATGAAGCCCCTGAATGACTACAACTCCCAGTACCGAAAACGCTGCTCTTGCGAAGAGGCGGTAGAGACTGCCCTTCGAGCATTATGGGACTTGGAGTTTTTGCGGTGACTGTGGGTTCCGCAGGTTTCAGCCCCTTGTTTTGGGTAGTGGCCAGAGAAGCAGTGGCGCTAAATCAGAGAACTGATGTAATATGTACTATAGGCGAGGCAAATAATTCGATTTCAAGTAACCCTTAATGCATACCATTCCTTCAGGAATGTGTAAAAACAGGCAGTCTCCTCTTACCCAAGTTCATCTTGCAGTAACTAAGAAAAGACCAGAAAGAATTTATAAGAGAATATAAGTACTCTTGTGGGAGTTTTGTTTTCCCTTCAAGAGTGTTCTGCAAGCCAACCATTAATTTTTTTTCTCCATTAATTTATTTTTCTGACTTTTCCTTACATACCTGAAGAACTTCCAAATTTTAAATCGTCTTTTAGTTAGAGGGGGTACATTTATTCAAGTAAGCTTTCAGACTACAGTAAGGCTAATGGTTAACACCGTTATCTAGCTTTTCGTAAATGGTCTTATACTTGTTCAGTGTTTTCACTTTTTGTTTTTTTTGTTTGTTTCTTAGAACAACACTGAAAACAAGCCTGATGTAAAGAGCACTGGTTTGAGGTGCTGAAGACTGGGTGCTTGTTCTAGAAAGCTCTTGGGTAAATCACGCAACTCTCCAAGAAATAAAAGGATTATATCCTGTAAACTCTGAGGTCCCTGCCAGTTTTAATGTTCTATGATTCTATCCTGATAATTGTTAACCCAGGAGAGAAAACGAAGGTTAAGTGACTTGCCAAGGTCATAAAGCAAATTATTGACAAAGCTTGGACAAGAACCCATCTCCTGACCTAAAGTGAGATAATTTTTTACACTATGATTCAAGGGACATAGTTAGACCAATAGTAAAACCAAATCTACATAATAATGAATCAGCCATGTGTGAGGGTTATATTGCTGAAAATTATGTCTTCAAGACTGGGCAGATAGCCAACAGTGGGACTAACAGCACAATAGTTGAGAAATGCCACATCACAAACAAGGATACTAAGACCTAAGCTATCTGTAGTACTTTACAATTTCGAAGTTTAAAGGGGAGAAGAGGAAAAGAGGGATTTTAGAAAGGAATTTAAGATAACAGGTCTTGAGTTAGGCTCTTGAGACTGGCCAGCATGGCATAAAATTTCCCTAGAAGGTTTTGTTCCTAACCTACCACTATAATTTTTTGTAGCCTTAATAGTTTGTTTCATACTCCTAATTATAAAATGAGGCTATTAATATATCCTGAGAACAAAATGGTGTTTAACCCTTTTTAAAACCAACATGGCCATTTTATAGTACATTTTTTTAAGTTAAAATAAGAACCCCTAAAACTGTGGAAAATGGTTGCCTCCAAGGAAGGTAACTAAGGTGAGGAAAAAGAAAGACTTTAAACACAGTTATACTCTTGAAATTTCTTACTATTTAAGTGCAATATGTCAATAATGGAAAAAAAAACTATTTTACTTTTATTTCTTGTAATAGATCATGGGAATTATCAGATCCCTTTCAGTTGTTGGATGGTTTTACTCAGTCTCATTCTTTGTATGCTTAGTTATTTTTTACTATGAGCTGCATTCTCCTTGGAAAATTATTTGTGGGAATTTTGAAAGCTAAGATAAAGGTTCATTCCTCCTGAGAGAATTTAGTTTTGCTTCTGCCAGTAGAGATAACTTTAAACTAGCACTGTTTGGGATTTTTTTTTTTTTTTAAACCACCAAGAGATGTATATTTAGGCTACATATCCCTGAGAGGGCTGGCTTATGGGTCCAGTACCCCTCTACAGCTCCCCACAATCACCCCTTCCAAGACAACTTTCTTTCAATTTGTTAGGTGGGGGTGTGTTTACTAGCAATTCACCCTTACACTGAGGTCCCGGCTTTAGAATTCCCCATTTGACCAGGCCCTGGGCTTAGCCTTCTGTCCTACTTGCCCCCTAGGCCTAGAAAAAACAAGTTTAAGCTCTCTAGGTCCATCCATGTTGCTGCAGATGGCATTATTTCATTTTTTTTTACGGCTAATATTCCACTGTGTATATGCACCACATCTTCCTTAGCCATTCTTCTGTTGATGGACACTTAGGTTGTTTCCATGTCTTGGTCATTGTAAATAGTGCTGCAATGAATATTGGGGTGCATGTATCTTTTCAAAGTATAGTTTTCTCCGGATATATGCCCATGAGTGGGATTGCAGGATCATATGGTAACTCTGTTTTTAGTTTTTTAAGGAAACTCCATACTATTCTCCATAGTGGCTGTACCAATTTACATTCCCACCAACAGTGTAGGAGGGTTCCTTTTTCTTCATACCCTCTCCAGTATTTAATACTTGTAGACTTTTTGATGATGGCCATTCTAATGGGTTTGAGGTGATACCTCATTGTAGTTTTGATTTGCATTTCTCAAATAATTAGCAATGTTAAGCATTTTTTTCGTGTGCATGTTGGCCACCTGTATGTCTTCTTCGGAGAAATGTCTATTTAGATCTTCTGCCTATTTTATTTTATTTTATTTTATTTTATTTATTTTTTGGTGTATGCGGGCCTCTCACTGTTGCGGCGTCTCCCGTTGCGGAGCACAGGCTCCGGACGCGCAGGCTCCGGACGCGCAGGCTCAGTGGCCATGGTTCATGGGCCCAGCCACTCCGCGGCATGTAGGATCTTCCCGGACCAGGGCACGAACCCGCGTCCCCTGCATCGGCAGGCGGACTCCCAACCACTGCACCACCAGGGAAGCCCTCTGCCCATTTTTTGATGGGTTGTTTTTTTGATATTGAGCTGTTTGTATATTTTGGAAATTAATCTGTCAGTCGCATTGTTTGAAAATATTTTCTCCCATTCTGTAGGTTGTCTTTTCATTTTGTTTATGCTTTCCTTTGTTGTGCAGAAACTTTTAAGTTTAATTAGGTTCCATTTGTTTATTTTTAGTTTTATTTCCATTACTCTAGGAGACGTATCCAAAAAAATATTTCTGTGATTTATGTCAAAAAGTGTTCTGCCTATGTTTTCCTCTAGGAGTTTTATAGTATTCCATCTTATATTTAGGTCTTTAATCCATTTTGTTTATTTTTGTATATGGTGTTAGAAAATGTTCTAATATCATTCTTTTTTTTTTTTTTGCGGTTTCGCGGGCCTCTCCCTGTTGTGGCCTCTCCCGTTGTGGAGCACAGGCTCCGGACGCGCAGGCTCAGCGGCCATGGCTCACAGGCCCAGCCGCTCCGCGGCATGTGGGATTTTCCCGGACCAGGGCACGAACACGTGTCCCCTGCATCGGCAGGCGGACTCTCAACCACTGTGCCACCAGGGAAGCCCTAATATCATTCTTTTACATGTAACTGTCTAGTATTCCCAGTACTACTTGTTGAAGAGACTGTCTTTTCTCCATTGTATATTCTTGCCTCTTTTGTCATAGATTAATTGACCATAAGTGCATGGGTTTATCTAGAGATTATCATATTAAGTGAAGTAAGCCAGACAGAGAAAGACAAATATTATATGGTATCATTTATATGTGGAATCTAAAACAGGAAAAGAAAAGATACAAATGAACTTGTGTACAAGACAGAAATAGACCCACAGACATAGAAACAAACTTATGGTTACCAAAGAGGAAAGGAGAGGAGGGATAAATTATGAGGTTAGAATTAACACATACACACTACTATACATAAAATAGATAACCAACAAGGACCTACTGCATAGCACAGGGAACTATACTCAATATTTTGTAATAACCAATAAGGGAAAAGAATATGAAAAAGTATATATATATATATATATATATAACTGAATCACTGTGCTGTATACCTGAAACTAACATGACATTGTAAACTCAACTGTACTTTAATACATAAATAAATAAAATAAAAATTATATATTTTCAAGGAGCCCTGAAAACAATAAAAGAATAAAACTGGATATGAAAAAAAAAATGCCATATAAGAGAAAGACAAAAAAAAACATGTTTAAGTTCTCAAGTAAGACATGTGCCCTAGGGTAAAAGTAACATCATTGCTCTATTTACTCTCTGGATCCTGCCTTCACCTAGATTTTGGTCTGATTTTTCCTTGTCTTCTTATTGACTCTTCACTATTTTACCAGCATTTTTCACTGTTTCCAGTAGGATGGCCAATTTGCCATATTATGAGCCATTATACAAAAAAGAACAGTCAAGCTAGTGGTTAGCTCAGGGAGGAGCCAATATGATCAGGGCACATGATGGACATCTGGGTGTTTGTTGGCAGTGTTCCACTCTTTTTTTTATTATTATTATTCAAACAGAAAGTCACAGGCAGTGTTCTACTCTTGACCTTTGTGGTGGTTGCACCAATGTTCACTTGATACTTTTGCTTTAAACAATTTATATGTTTTTCATACTTTCCATTTACATATCTCACCGTATAAAATAAAATTAAAAATTTTTTAATTAGAAAAACATGAATAAAGTAAAAGGTGACTGGAAAGTAGAATCTACAAGGTAAGCAAACCAAGCTTTTGGACTTAATAATTTCCTTAGGTCACTCAGCAAAGCATTTTAAAGGTCTTAACCACAATAGGACGTACAAAACAAGTAGAAGAAAGGTTTTCAGGTTTGTCCCCTTCAACTTCCCCCATAAAAGGAGTCCTCAGTACAAACACAAACACACACACACACACACACACACACACACACCCCACTGGTCTTTAGCTATTAAAATACACACTCCTAAATTGTGTGGTTA